GGCCCAAAGTTAAAAACTGTTGTTCTTCTGAGGCCCTGAAGGTGGCGCTGTGGCCCACGGGTTAAGAATCTCTGGTTTAGAGAAACAGATTAAATGTGAGCGAGRTGTGAACTGATGGACTCTGCTGCAGGTCTGCCTACTGTGGTCAAACTGGTGGACAGGGAGACGTTACTGAAGGAGAAGGAGGAGAAGAAGAAGGTGAGGACAGCATCAGCTGGTTATCAGCTGGTTCTGGTAAACAGAGCTCACTTGACTCTGGCTCCTCTGTCACAGATGGAGGAGGAGAAGAAGAGGAAGAAGGAAGAGGCTGCCAGGAAGAAACAGGAGCAGGAGGTGAGTGTGATGTTGTGTCTTCAGCTGATCCTGATCGAGCTCACTGTGATCCTCTGTCCTCGTGTTTCAGSTGGCCAAGCTCAACAAGATGAAGATCCCTCCACAGGACCTGTTCCGCTCTGAAACCGACAAATACTCCCAGTTTGATGAGACGGTAAAACCTTTACTGGACCTTTCACTGAAACCCAGCAGAGTCCCACTTACACTGCACCAGCCAACAGTTTTACAATGGACCCCATGTTTGAGGAGGGAGCTCCATCCAAAGACATAAACAATGCTTCTAACTCAAAAACTATTCAATACAGGAGCTTCAGATTTATTTAGTTGTTTAGCTCCGATGGAGGAGTATCCATCAGGCTCACCAATGAGCCCCCACCCCCTCTGGACCCCCCCCCAAAACAATAAATCCTTTCTGGTGCCTTGGTGCTTTGTGTATGTGTGAGGGTCATATATGCTCCTGCTGAGCTGTATCTGGTTTATCAAGCTAGTTTCAGTCATGATCCAGCAGCTACAGAACCTTCTCACTAACTTTTATTTATTTATTTATTTATTTATTTATTTATTTATTTATTTAAACTACAAAACATCTGTGTAAGAATAGGCATGATGTGTAAAAGAGAAGCAGTATAACCAGCTGTGTTTCCATTCACCATGAAAATGCACAAATTAGAATTTCGAAAATAAATKTGCTCAATGGAAACACATCAATTTAGAAAATAAATTAMGTTTTTCGACAAAATGTTTTTGCTCTAGGATGAGGTGGTTTTTCAGTCGTATCGAAATTAGTGTTTTTCACAAAACTGCAATGGAAACACTTTTTTCACATCACAGGAGTCACGTGATCAACAACCGTCTGTTTCTACTGGTGAAAAAGACGATGATGAAGAAGATAACAGGAAGTAGAAGTAGTAGTAATATCACAGAAGTAGTATAAAGTAGTAAACTCACCGACTACAATTTCCCAAAAACACAGCATACGTAGCCGCTCCCAAGTAGGGACTTGTCTCTGGAAAGCCTCGATAAAAGACGCCGACGTCTCCTCTGATGATGAGCGCTAGTGTCGTGGTAGCAACATGCTATGTGTTTACATCCATCGCTGCCATGTTTGTAATGACTTATCATGAGAACAAACGTATTCACGTGACTTTAATAACATTTCTTACTTAATGGAAACACTGCAGTTGTGAAACTGTGTTTTCAACATTAACAGAATATCGACAAAGTTTTGTGCACATTTGCAATGGAAACACAGCTACTGTGACTGTGACCTGTCCATCRAATACAAAAAGTCAAAGAAAACACATTTTTCTATAAGAAACCTGGCATRAAACGTGATTTTTACCCATTTTGTCACAAAAATTGCATATTTTCTTTTGACCTTGGCTCAGGCAAAGTGAAACAGGAAGTGACATCAAAGGGGAACTCTCTGGTCTCGATTTATTGAAACAATATTACTTAGCCTCTGACTCTTCATCTCTCTGATAGAAACTGTAAATAATGTAAAGAAACATCAGATTCTTCTCTACAGTCTGGGTTGTTGGCTGTTTTATCAATGCTTTGTTTACATGCAGACATTCCCCTCTGACATCACTTCCTGTTACTTCAAATGCAAATATCTCAACAACTGTTCATCTCAGTAGCAGGAAATTATTTTTGCAATATACAGTATTATTGATGTTTTCTTTCCAATAATGCCTTTATATTTATTTAAAAAGTCATGTCACAGGAACTTTAATGACTGTCTGATGTAGAGTGAGCTGCAGAGAGCAGCTTCATGATGCTTCAGAGGAGCAGCTCCTGCTAACACTCCTGTTTCTGTCTGTGGACAGGGCTTCCCCACTCACGATGCTGAAGGGAAGGAGCTGAGCAAAGGGCAGGCCAAGAAGCTGCGCAAACTCTACGATGCTCAGAAAGAACTGCACGACAAGTTCCTGCAGATGAACCAGAACTGAAACTGACCCCTCCCCCAGTGATCCAGACCATCCACCTGACAGACCTACAGAATAAACATCAGGCGACGCTGTGTCACACTTTATCTCTGGTTTACTGTGTTTGAATCAGAGAACAAGAAACTGATGATTTTGTATTGTTTTTCATAATAACTGTTATAAACAAATTTTACCAAACTGGTGAGAAGAAGTGGAAGAAGCTCCTCTGTGTGATGTGTTTTTACTGCAGCTTTGATCTTTACACTTTAATTATCATTATGAATCTGAAAACAGGAAGTGCTGTCGTCAGCCTTCACTGGTTTTCTGCTGCTGTTCGTCCAGTTTTCATTTCATTACTTCCTGTTGCACTCGTCCTCTACAGAGACACGTTTCGTCCTCTACAGAGACACGTTTCGTCCTCTACAGAGACACGTTTCGTCCTCTACAAAGAGACGTTTCGTCCTCTACAAAGAGACGTTTCATCCTCTACAGAGACGTTTCGTCCTCTACAAAGAGATGTTTCGTCCTCTACAGAGACACATTTCGTCCTCGACAGAGACACATTTCGTCCTCTACAGAGACACGTTTCGTCCTCTACAGAGACACGTTTCGTCCTCTACAAAGACACGTTTCGTCCTCTACAAAGAGACGTTTCGTCCTCTACAGAGACGCGTTTCGTCCTCTACAAAGAGACGTTTCGTCCTCTACAGAGACACTTTTCGTCCTCTACAGAGA